AGTGGGACCTTGATGGATGAGTGGCTGGTTCCTGCTCATTGGTAGGGAAGCAGGAACCATTGGAGGGCTCGGGAGTGGAGCCGAGCCCACGGGACGATGCCAATACAGGAAACCATCTTCCCCAGAAGTTTGGACAGCAGCGACAGGGGGACAATTTGATGTTGCTGGATCTGGCTGATGATCTCTGCAAGGCTCTTTCCACGAGCTGGGGACAGGAAAACCTGGCATGACATGGTATTGATGACTGCTCCCAAGTGTTGCAATTTGGTTGTAGGAGAGAGCTGGCTCTTTTTGGTGTTGATGGAAAATCCGTGGCTCTGGAGACATGACAGGGTAATTTGCAGATACCGATGGGCCGCAAGGATGGAAGAGGAAAGAATCAAAATGTCATCCAAGTAGCATTGGTTCCTCACTGGAATAGAACGCAGAGATGCCACCAATGCTGCCAGAACCTTTGTGAAGACCCTTGGAGCCGATGAGAGGCCGAAGGGAAGTGCTCGATACTGGTAATGGGTATTCTGATAACAGAAACGGAGAAACTGGCGATGATGAGGCCAAATCGGGATGTGGAGGTAAGCCTCAGTGAGATCAATGGAAGAGAGGAGGTCGCCCTCCCGAACGCTCTCTAAAATAGAATGCAGAGTCTGCATTTTAAATCGCCTGTATTTTACAAATTGGTTGAGAAATTTTAGATCAAGGATGGCTTGCCACCCCCCTGAGGCTTTGGGAACGATGAAAAGGCGAGAGGAAAGCCCACGTCCCCGTTGAGACGGGGGAACAGGTTGAATAGCCCTGATTTCAAGAAGGTGCTGAATGGCCTCATTCATGAGGGCTTGCCTGGAAATGTCCCAAGACACAGGACAGATCAAAAAATTTTTGGGGGGTGGGGTTAGGAAGTCCAATTGTAACCCTGACCTAATAGTGCTGAGCACCCAGGCATCCATCGTTGACTCCTCCCATTTGGAGGCAAAGAAGGCTAGGCGACCTCCGATGGGTGGGGAGAACGAGGGATTACTTAGAGCGACGGAAGGAATGACCCCCTCTCCCCCGAAAGGGCTGTTTACCAGTAGAAGGTTGTTGCCTGCCAGATGTTTCCGCCCGTTGGTCTTGGCGTTGGGAGTATGGCCTGTGAGAGCGGGGGAAGCGAGATGAGGTCTCCGCTCAGAAGGCAGGAGGGCGATAAGGAACAGGGCGATAGTTGGCTTTCTTCCCAGAGGAAGAGAGAATTTTACGTTTATCTCTGGTTTCGATGAGATAAGGTTCCAGAGCATCTCCAAAAAGCTTATCGCCTGCGAAAGGAACTGAAGCCAGCTTCCATTTTCGGCATGACTCCACCTGCCAATTTCGGAGCCATAAAAGTCTTCTTGCTGCTACAGAAGATGCCATGGCCTTGGATGCAAATTTGGTGGAATTGAGAGTGGCATCTGCAGTTAATTCCGCTGCTGCAATAATCTTATTAAGGTCTTGGTGAGACCGAAGGTCAGAAGCAGGCAATCTATTCTGGAGTTGGCGCAGCCACCGTATGGATGCCCTGGTGAAGAAGGATGCTGCTGTTGAAGCCCGAACAGCCCAAGCAGCAGCCTGGTGATTGCTCTTGAGGGTCTGTTCGGAACGTTTATCATCCGGTTTCAGGATATCTTCTGGCTCCGTGGGAGTGCCAGAAGATGAGAACGAGGCCAGAACCGGAATGTCAACAGAAGGCACTGCCAGGGCATTGTCCAGAGCTGCGCTGACATTGTAGAAACGTTTATCCAGAGAAGATGGGCGAGGACCTGCCGAAGGAGAAGCGCACTGTTTCTTGACCATGTCCAGGAACAAAATGGGGGAAGGCAAAACCTCTGCATGCACTACAGGCTTGGAGAAGAGTGAATCCCCTTGGCTAGAGGGATTTCCTTGTGGCTCGGGAGCCACTTCCTCTGGTGACAGCTTGGCAGTGACCAAGGCCTTGCTGAGTAATGGCCTGAAGAGAGTAGGTTTGAAGACCAATGCAGAGGATGTCTGCTCTGGGCGAGAATACTCTTCCTCTGAAAGATTTTGGTCAAAAATCTCACCCTCTTCACACTCTGAATGAGAAGAGTAACTGTGTTCAGATGGTGAAGGCCTTCCTTCCTCATCAACCTCCTCCCATTCTGGTAGAGAAGAATGGACCCTGAGGTCCTGAGGCCTGTGTAAATGAGGATGATGAGGCAAGGAACTTACAGATTGAGAAGGGAGAAGGGCCTGAACCCTTTCCAGAGGTTGAAGAATTTGCTTGAAGCCTTCAGCCAATCCCTGCCTAATGGCTGATGAGACTACATCTTGGATATGCCTTGGTCTATGCTCAAAGGTAGAGGCAGAAGGCAGAAGGCCCGCTGCTGTGGGAGAGAAGGTGGCTCCAGGCCTCGATTGAGGAGAGGTTCAAGGCCTGGAGGGAGGGGGAGGAGCATAGGGCACAGAAGCCTGTTGGAAATAAGGCCCAGATCTGCTTAAATCCTGAGGATCTGACTCTACAACAAGAGCCTCAGGAGACCAGGATGGAGGATGGAAAGGCTCATAGATAACTTCTCCTCCCCTGGGAGGGCTTGGTTGGGGCCCACGAGTATCACCTGAAACATGCTGTAGTTGCACTCCCTTCTGTTGAATAGTTCTGTTGAACTGCCTCTCTAGAGCTGCATGTCTACGCTTCTCTGCCCTCAATTCAGCCTGAGTTGTCTTCTTAGGGGCTAGAGCCTTAGCTTTGATTTTAGCAGCCACCTCCCTCTGGACTGATTGGGTGCGTTGCCAATGTCTTTTTCTCCTATTGGGCTTAAGAGACTGTTCCACTGGGGGGGGGGGGAGCTCTGCCAGAGCCTTATCTTGCTCCATTTGTAAAATAAAGGCTCTTGCATTGGAAAGAAGCTGTTTAGAAATTTTTCTATTAAGCCCCTTACGGTATAAATGGCCCCCGGGCTTACAAAATGGCCGCTCACCTCGTGGTGGAAGGCTTGAATCCAAGATGGCCACTGACTACAGGAAAGCAGGCTCCAAGATTTAAGAATCGCTCCTTAGGCTATACAGAGCCCCGAGCAAAGTCAGCAAGGGAAAAACACAGCAACCAGCTACACGATCAGCTGGCTTGAGCTCTTATCAGTTTGCTGATCATGTTTACGATCGCTCCAAACTGCAGGCGTGGGGGAGGTCTGCAGACGCTGCCCAGCTTGCCTGCACAGAGCTCTGTAAAGCTGCTCCCAACATTGCAGGAGAGAGAGAGAGAGAGCCCTGCTCTCCTGGAAGAGCAGCTGCCCAGATCCCTGGGAGCTGCTTGAAGCGAGGAAAAAAGTACTGAAGATCGCTGGTGATTGCTATCTAACAGAACGCTTTCAGAGACACAGCTACTGACTGTAAGGAGCTGAGTCAAAAGCTGGGGTCTCTCCCGGGGGCTGGCTTTTATATCTTAGTACAGACTCAGCTATGACGTCATAGGAAGGAGTCAACCCATCCTGGGCTCTCGATGCAGCATGGAGGAGAATGTGATGATCATGGTGCACCTAGACTTCAGCAAGTATTACATGACCAAATGTCCCATGATATCTTAGTAAGGAAGAATGAAAAATAAGACAGACTGTAAGATAATTAAATACAGAGGTGGTTGACTGTCGGTACCCAACAAATGAACTCACTAACATGCTGGAAACAAATGTTGAATGTGGTCGTGTTGTTCAACATATTAATGAGGAGCTAGACAACATCATTATTTATTTGTGGACACAATGACAGAGGAGACCTTAGAAGACAATGTCAAGATCAGAAAGATCTTGACCAAGTGGGATAATGGGTAGAAAGCAGAAAGGTAAATTTCAAGAAGAATGATTTTCTGAAAGTTAATGACAAAAATTTTCAGTAAAATCTTTGTAGCCAAGAAATTATACTTTATATGTATAATAAACAACAGCTTTTGAAGAAATGTCATACAGCTGCTCATTGCTTTTTTATTTATATCATGTATTATCATTTAATTACACACAGATTATTTAGTGACTGCCTTGTAGAGTGTTCATAGTTACAAGAGATGAAAAAGTAACTTTATGACTAATCTTGACAATTATGACCTTTACAGGTCTGTAAAGTAAAGGAAAACTGACCTAGGATCCTTAGCACTGTCACAGTGGTCCCAATTGTGGTTGCTACATAAAGACTACCTGTAGATTCAGACATACTCCATAAGATATCCAGATGGATTCAACTGGGATTTCATTCAGTCATTGTCAGCCTCCCAAGTAGACCAGATAGGAAACATGATAAGATAAGTTAACTCTATACTAAGGCTAGATTAACAGAAACTTGTGAGTCTGGAAATACAAATCTCCTAGTGTCTCTTTTTACAGCTTGATTATTCAGACAGAACCTTTCTAAGTTTCTTTTCTTCTCCTTGCTATTGAGTGGGCTCTTCCCCCTTTTATCTGATCATTCCCTAGGCAGCATCTCTTTCTCCCATCTTCCAAGGTCTTCTCACATTCTAATAAATCACCCTCCCCTTCAGACTCATTCCCCTGCCCCAGGTTTCCAGGGGAAACAGATTATGGTCTGTGAGAACAAAATATAACTGTTAGATTATATCCCTTCTTCTTCCAGTAACTCCCCAAGAATACACAAGGCATCTTGTAAATGTTTGCTCCAGTTGAGGTGACAGCTGCTGGTGCTTTTATTGGGCATGATCTGCCTATGTGCCCTGAAATCCCACAGTAAAAGCACACCCCATGATCCCTTCTTCTCTGCCTCTCCCTTGATGACAAGGATCTCTTGGGTTCCCCATGCTGAAATCCAAGGAAGCTATTGGGATATGGGGGAAGACAAATTATAGGATCTTTTGTCCTTCCAGAGAGAAGAAAAACCAGACAGGATACATGAAAAGATGAGCTAACTCTATTTTATTATAAAACTACATTAAAAGAATATTGTGCAAGCCTGAAAATACAAATCTCCCACCATCTCTTTTTATCACCTGATTAGTTAGGGGAATCCTTTTTAAGTCTCTTTCTCACCTATTATTCAATGGCAGGCTTCTCACCCTTTGATCTGATTGTTCTCTAGGCATATTTCTTTCCACACCCCCTTCTGGTCTTCCAAGGTCATTCCCAGAGTACATAATATTTCCCTCCTCTCTTGTTAGTTACAGTAATTTTCTGTCAACAGCGAACATGACATCTCATATTTATATTTACAAAATTCACTAAAGTTACATGCACGATTGCTGTTTTTCTAGTCTATGTATTGAAGTAATTTTTATTCTACACAAAATTTCTAAGCCTCCCAAGAAAACATCAAGTTTTTAATAAGGTTGTAAATCCTGAAAAGTCTTGTGAGGCCTCTATTACTCCCCAAATAAATGCAAACAAATAGCATGTATTGCTTAGCAAATCACAAGAAAATTAACGAATAGTATATTCAGGTAAATTTTAGCCTTTCATATTTTAAATTCAAATTAATTGCATCACATACAATCAGATTATGAAGTAAGACATTATCTAGATCACGACAGAGGTATACAGGTAATATAAAAAAAAAACCCAAAATAAATGAAAGCAGTTACAAATAAAAATCAATTTGCATGCATTACATTTGCAATACTTTAATTAAATAAAAACTTCAGTTCTACAAGTAGAACTTAAAGACTACAGTTTTGTTTATATACAGAACTGTATTATATTTGAGTACTCCAGCATTGCCTTCAAGTCTGAAACAGGCAAAATTCTGGAATAAGCCACAAAGCATGTTTTCTTTTTAAAAAAAACCTGCATATGACAGTTCCTTCACTAGGAAGGAAAATGTGAATGGTTACCTCTAAAGCATTGGTAGCAAGTATATATGTATCTGAATACCTCACTGTCCATATTTGCACATAAAGATTATTGTATCATCTTCACATGGCTAGTCATTCCTGAATACAGTAGTTAATTATTCATACTCACAAACTGCCTATATTCAATTACTCTTTATTCCTCTCAGCCAGGAATCTGCATTTAGGAAATAATTTCCTCCCATGAATCCCTCTCTCTCAAGCAGGTCCAGTAGGAAAGATGACATCATTGCTTTAGACATGCACCTGATTCTTAAGAAATCGCACCTCCTCCAATAAACAGGGTATTTTTTTAAAGTGACAAAGACTGACTTTGCCAGTATGCTATCGCACTCTGGAATATGTTCCCATAATACACATTCTTTCTCTCTGCTCACTGTCATAATGCAAGTTATTTTTAAAAAATTATAGAAATAAAATATAGATTACAATCCAAAACTCTTCCACTATAGGCAGAAATATTAAACTATTCTCTTCATTATAATTATGTTGTAAATACACAAAAATACTAACTTATCTCACATATTTAAACTGATTTCAAAATATTCTAAACAAAGTATTTCTTTTTATTATCTATAGATAAGTACACAAAGTTACAAAACTAGCAACAAATAGTGAAAATCAACAACAGCATGGGAACAATCCATATTATTACACTGAGTACCTCCTGGACAGAAGCTGTAAATTTTGGTACAATGAATTTATGGCTTTCAGCAAACAATTTTTGGTTTCCTGATGCCTCGTCCTCTTCTCTCATCTCTGCTTCTTGCCTTAGGAAATTGTCTGATACAGATAGTCCTCGACTTACAACAGTTCATTTAGTGACCAAAGTTACAACAGCAGTGAAAAAGTGACTTATGACTGTTTTTCACTCTTACAACCTTTGAAGCAAAATTCAGGCGCTTGGCAAGTGGTTCATATTTATGACCGTTGCTATGTCCCAAGTCCCGTGATCACTTTTTGCAATCTTCTGTCATGCAGAGTCAATGGGGAAGCCAGATTCATTTAATAACCAGGTTACTAAATTATCAACTGCAATGATTCAGTTTAACAACTGTGGGAATGAGGCAAAACTCACTTAACAAATGTCTCACTTAACAAGAGAAATTTTGGGCTCAATTGTGTTCATAAGTCGAGGACTACCTGTACTTGGGCCTGGAGATCTGCTATATGTCTGCTCATGGACCATATAAGAAGAGATGGGTAGGTATGTTTTGGCCCATGGGTCATGGTTTGCCAAACTCTGATCTTGTATAAACCAATCACAAGGTTCCAAATTATATAAACACATTTGGAACTTTGTGATTGATTTTGTTTTATATCCTTTTTAAACATTTGATTTAAACCCTTTTAAAACAAGGGTTTCAACAGGAAGGAAAGGGATAATAAAAATGGCCAAAGTGATGAAGATAAAACTGAACAATAAATTGTTCATTGCTTGTAACACAGGAAATCCTCCAAATTCCATAGCACTTTCACATTATGACAGAAAATATATACAATTGTAAGTTTTATTTTTATTAGTTTTATCAGTGAAAAAACACATCTCAAGATACAATAAAGTACAAACTTGCTTATACTGCTAAAATAAAAGTATTTAATTCTTATGCAATATAAGTAGTCCTTGAATTATTACCACAATTGAACCCAATTTTCTGTTTACTAAGTTTTGCCCCATTTTATTATTTTTCCTGGCCCAGTTTTGAAGTAAATCATTGCAATTGTTCAGTTAGTAACCCAGTTGTTAAGTGAATGTGACTTCACCATTGACTTTGCTTGTCGGCAGTTTGCAAAAGCTGATCACATGACCCTGGAACACTGCAACCATCATAAATATGAAAGCAGCTGCCAAGCATCTGAATTTCGATTATGTGATCACGTGGATGCTGCAACAGTCATAAGTGTGACAAACGGTAATGTCACTTTTTTCAGAGCTGTTGTAACTTTGAACCAGTGGTGGGATTCAATTTTTTTTACTACCTGTTCTGTGGGCATGACTTGGTGGGCGTGGCAGGGGAAAGATGCTGTAAAATCTCCAGTCAGAGGTGGGATTTGCTGGTCCTCCGAACAACTCAAAATTTCCGCTATCGGTTCTCCAGAACTGGTCAGAACCTGCTGAATTCCACTTCTGCTTTGAACAGTCACTGAACAAAATACTGCAAGTCAAGGACTATGAAAAATGTATTTATTAAGTTTCTTAATTTGATTTTGTTTATTGACTTTGTTTCTCTCTTTTATTTCAATTGTTTTACCATTTTCTAATTTTAAGGAAAGACAGTTTAATTTACATATAATTATGATTACATAACATATGGATGAAGAGGGCAAAAAGAAAACAATGTGGTTATACATAAAACAAACTAGAACTCATTTTGAATAGGCACAACAAAAATATGCAAGCAAAACTAAATCAAATATTATGCTGCTTATATCTGAAGAAAAACTAAAATTCACTTTTGAGCCAACTGGATCTTGACCATTATTATCTTGCCCAATTTTTAAATCAACAGAAATGTGACCCCTTCCCAAATTAATTCTGAACAACAATTTAATAGTTTATTTGCCTTCTACCACCATAAAAGAACTAAATGGCTGTGGGGATAGTTTGAAGTAAGAGGCTGGGGTATACCGTTTACAGTGCTTAAATTCATATTTCATTCCGGTAGAATATCTAATAGATTATGACAGAGAATATTCATTAACTGGCAGAGACATGGTTAACAAAGTCAGCGAGTAAGCATGGCAACAGACCAGCCAATGAGAGCTGACAGAGAGCTGGGTGTGGCTTGGCTCTTGCTTGCTTGTTGAAACTGAATTCTGCTGTGAGCTGCTCTGCTTGTGTTTTTGCTTATGTTACGTTGAAATAGTCTACAAATGGTATAATCTATCTAATAATCTACAAATGATATAATAACTTTACTTATATTATTATGTTTATAAAGAAGTTAATGATCCTGCTGAGTCAGTCATCTGCGTGTTTTCTGGACTTGAAATTTCTGCTGCAAACTCTTAACAGATTAGAACTGGGATCCCCACGAACGGACTGTGGGCTATTTGTAATTGGGCCGCACAAGTGGATGGCCAGCCATAGTGTGCACAACTCAACTTGTGCACCACCAGCCTGCCGCTCACATGGATAGTTCCCCTCTCCCACCCCAAAGCTGGGCCACCAAGCCACAAAGGTTGGGGACTACTGCATTAAATAGTTTGGTTGATTATGTGTGCAAATGCTATGTTTTAAAGTTAAATTAAACAATTGTTTGTTACCACTGGATAGTGGTGTGCAATCTTTAGCATGAAAACTAGTTAGATTTAGTGGTTTGTGAGTTCTAGTAACGCCTTAGACATGAAAGCCATCTGTGTGGCTTTGGGTCAGTCACTCTCTCTCAGCCCACAACGTCAGACTTGGGCGACAAGTTGGCTAGTCAATTCCTGTTTGTAACCAATGGACCAACACTCAATTGATCTGGAAAAAATAAAGCAGACCCTGCACTTGCAGAAAAAACACCAGGAAGAAGATTCTTCAGCATGGATCTTCCAAATAGCTTTGGCGTATTACAAGAATATCAGTTTGTCTCCACACAAAGCTTTGAGGCAAGCTTTCATAGAATTCATTTCCAATCTATGCCATTAACATGTTTGGATGTGAGATAAGTGGAAGTATCAAACTTAACAGTATGCGTGATGGGTGAAATATCTTGTCTACTTGTATGCAAAAACTATACATAGTCGATAAAGCTATCAACCATTACTCAAAGCAGTCAATTAAACCTTCTTTGCTAAACTCCATCAACTTTTGCAGTCATCATCCATTGTGGGAATCAAAATATTCCATTTTTGTAGATAAAATATTCTTACTGCTATCAGCATATATAACATCAAAGTTCCATTTTTTCAAGTTATTTATCCATTAAGCCCAAAAGAAAAGTATCTGGTTTTATCTTTATAATCACTTAATGTTCTGTATTAAGATGTGAATCCTACTCCAATATTTCTTTGCTTTATCACATGTCCATTGTAAATATTAAAAAGAAGAACCATTAGAAACTGGCGCCAGATTGATAGGGAAAATTGAAGAATATGGATAAGTTGCAGGATTGAAAATAAACAAAGAAAAAACTAAAATTATAGTAAAAAAAACTTTACAGATAAACAGAGAAATGAACAGGTCCAAATGGCTCTTTGAGTGTTTAAGGTTGCAGAAACAGGCAGTCAAACTAAATGCCTGAAGGACCCCATCCCGTCATTGAGAATCCAGGCATTTCAGTGAGCTGCGCACTGAATTTATATTAGTGGTCTGCGGGATTTAAAATTATGAATTTAGTGGTCCCTGAGGTCCGAAAAGTTGAGGACCCCTGCTATAAAGGATCTTTATAGAGAATACCTCTTCCTCAGTAGCTAACATGGCCTGGCACTCTCCAAAAGGCTTCCCAACTGCCCCTTAAGGGCTGGAACAAATATTATTTGGAAAGTGATATCCAGCTATTGTCTGCTGAGGGAGGGCAATTAGTGTCAATGTCTGGAGACAATTGCTGTAGCAATTGTAACCAGTAAGGTTTTTTTAAAAAAGATTTTCCAGCTAGTGTATTGTCTTATTTTGTTCATTCTTGGCTGGAAACCAAAGGCCAGCTTCACCTGAGTCTGGCACGTTCACTTAGCAAGACTGGCTGACTCCTACCACCTTACTTTTTTCAAAGCCAGGTATGGCAAACTTGGTGACATCAGGTAACATTTTGGCATGCTTATGGAAGCTAGGTAAGATAGAACAAAACAACTTTTTGGAATTAGGGAATTAACTTATATTTGGTAAAAGATAATGGCAGAGAAAGATTTGAAATGTACGTATAATCTCATTTGCAACACCATCAGTAAGATAATAGGCTGATTAAAAGACAACACAAGCACTTTAGATTTGGAGCACTGGAAGCCATTCAATAATACACAAATGTGTCTGTGCTAACTCTGAGGAAGTCCTAAGAAAATTAAAATGACTGTCCTGGAATCATAGCAACCAATACTGAGGCTGTTCAGGAGGATGCAGAGAGCAATCTTTTGTGTCTGAATTGAACAATTTAACTTGCAGGGAATTGCTTCTTTAGTATCCCAAAAGTCTTTCATATGTATGAAGCCCCCAATTTTTGCCATGTCTTCTTCTTTATTGATCAAGTGTGATTGGACACATAAGAAATTTGTTTCTGG